AGAAAGCATATGCAATCATGCCATGCCTGTATGTTGTCCCCATTAACTCTTTAATGTATTCCCTGATTTCAGTGAATTCAATACAGAGATTAAAGGCAAGTTTTAATCAAACAGAGGACTCATCAGAGGAAAGAGATTCTTTAGCTCTCTTAACTATGGGGAAAAACTATTGGAGTTTTCACACCTTACTAAACACCAGGAAAGGGAGAGGGGATAGAGCACTTGAGCTTGTGTATACTTAGATGCTAAATTCAGTCAGCCACAGACATGGTTCTGCCAGCAAAAAAGCTTCATTATTTTTTGTCACTTATGTGTTAAATGGGGAGGTGGTAGTCTCTTTGGTGAGGAGGTGGAGATGTAACGTCTTTATTTTTATAGAACTCCATATGTGTGCGCAGCATCTAATACCTATATATCAATTAATATTATTTATTAACTCGTGTACATTCAAAACCATTCCCCACATTATGTGTTGCAGTGTAAAAATATATAAACTCTGGCTGCTATTTGGATGGTATGAAAGTCTTGTAGTGTAATAGCTGTCAAAGCTTTAGTCCTTGAAATCTAAAGTGTTTACCAAAGAATTTTGACAAATCTTTGTTAAATATTTTTACTCTTCCATATTGTTTAATGTTGTTTAATCCATATGTCAGTAGAATGGAAACTTATTTCCTATTTAGGATCATTGAAGTGGTCGAGTATGGTTATTCTTTTTTTTGTACTTTTAAAAATCTTATGTATTTGATATATTGAGTCTGTAGAACCTGTTGTTAAGTATTAACAACAGTTAATATTACTGGGTTTAAATACAAATACCAATAAATATTAACTTACCGAGTATTTTTTAATGTAATTATTTTCATGGATTGTATGCATCACTTTTTTTTTCCTACAGCTTTGGAGAAAACATGGTGGTCATGTTATATGAGTATTTAAAGACCTCATGGTTGTTCACATATGCAAAAAACTACCTACTTTCACATTTAATTTCTTCACACAATCACAGAGTGATTGAGGTAGGCAGGGTCCTCTGGAGGTCATCTTGTCCAATCCCCTACTCAAGCAGGGCCACCTAGAGCAGGTTGCCTAGGACCGTGTCCAGACAGCTTTTGAATATCTCCAAGCAACAAGACTCCACAACCTCTCTGGGCAACCTGTGCCAGTGCTTGGTCACCCTCACAGTGAAAAGGTGTTTCCTGATGCTCAGAGGGAACCTCCTATTTCGGTTTGTGCTCATTGCCTCTGGTCCTGTCACTGGGCACCACTGAAAAGAGCCTGGCTCTGTCTTGTACACCCTCCCTTCAGATATTTCTACACATTGATAAGATCCCCCCTGAGCCTTCTCATCACTAGGCAAAACAGTCCTAGCTCTCTCAGCCTTTCCTAATAAGAGAGATGCTCTAGTCCCTTCATCATCTCAGAGGCCTGCGCTGGACTATATCAAGTAGCTCCATTTCTCTCTTGTATGGCGAGCCCAGAACCAGACGCAGTACTCCACAACTTCAGCGTTTATGTTTCTTGACTTTAGTGTTTATGCTTTTTTAAATTTTATGTCTGTGAAATTTGCTGAGATTTTTTTTCCTAATCTGTTGAAAAATGTTAGCAGAGCTTCATTCTCCACATCAGTCATTCTAGTCAATTGCAGTCATTTCCAAGAGGTTTATATAAAATCATTAGTACTTTGTAATTGCTTGCAAATAGCTGGAATGCCTTGTCTTTTGCGAAGAAATGGGATAGATTCCACAATAATTTTGTAGGGGAAAAATCCACAACTTGATAACATCATTGAATGGCTAAAGTGATCTGTTTATTTTAACATTTTTTTCTTGTAGTGCAAAATTTCAGTTTCCAAGCTTTTATTGGATTTTGCTAATCCAATCTTTTATGACCTATTCCTTGAGTATAATGGTGACAATGGACAACAATATCTTTGGGCTGTGCCAGTTTTAAACTTGAATCTTCAATACAGTGAAATGTTTGTTAATCAAGGTAAGACTGTCATAGTAACATTTCTGTGACTTTAAATAACCTGAATAACTTCAAATAGAAAGAATTTGTATTAATTACTGTTACTGAGCTGTTTTTAAAGATGCCACAACCCACCATAGCTTGTTTCTGTTTTAAGAATTTAATATTTTGTGGGCAAGTTCTGATAGTGTTAAATGCAAGCTTTGGTTGCATACACCAGCCCAATCAATAATATGTACAAGTAAAGTACTCTAATTTAATTATGTATTTTTTTAAGTTGAAAATAAATAATTTTGCATCCTGAATACAGTTATATGTATCACATAGCTATATGTATCCTTTCTACTAGATTTCATTCTTTTTGTGTGTTGAATTAGTTTTTTAAATATTATGTGATTCTCATGTTTTTTCAAAGGCAGTAATATGAACAACTGGCTTTTGACTCGCCGATTTTTTTTGGTGGATACGCTAAGTGGAAAAGAGAATGACTTGGGAAAACTACCAAGAGTAATTCGAATTGCTAGCAAAATAACAATAAGGTGATTAATTGCATATAATATATCGTCCATAGAAAATAAAGCTAGTTTTGTGCAGTCTGCATTTTGTTGTCTTAAAAGAAAGTTGTTTTATTACGTTGTTATGTCCTGTGCTGCTTTTTCCATAGCAGACTTGGAAATAGCAAGAGTTTCCATAGGTTGTTCTGATCAGTGAGCGAGAAAACATAACATTGACTTGTGGGGGTTAAAAGTACTGTGATTACTTTCCAGGTAAGATGGATCAGACTATGTATGCATAATGCAAGTTAGCAGTCATTCAGTCACCTCTTAGAAAAAGGTGTCATCTGGAAAGGCCTAAAAACTCCTCTGTTAATTCTTTTTCAATGTGTATGTTACTGACTATACAAGGATGCTATTTCATACTCCATATTCTTTTTTGCAGTATTTTTACAAACTGTTGCTTATTCTGTTGTACAATCCAGAATAGGCTTGTAGTCATTTAATTGAAATTGTGAGACTACCTGTTACGGTCATTACTGATAGTTCATCTCAACTGGAATATGTTTTGGAAGAGCCTTTTTTTCTCCTTCTTTATGTAATGTCTTCCTCTGAAATGACTGTCTAAAATTTGACATCTCCCTTTTCCTTCAGCTCTTGTTCACAACTTATTATTTAAAAAGATTGCTGAGTAGCACTGAGTACTGATCCATACAAGTCTTCTTGAAGATTAAGTTAATGTACTAACTCCATTTGCTAAGAACTACATATTACATTATTTCAAAAAATAAGGATTACCTTATGTATGTTAGAAGAACTCCCCTCCACCCCCCTTGGAAATAAGGATAATGCCAGCAATTCAAAATAAATATAGAAAAGGTCATTCTGTAATGTTTTGAGAAAAGTTACCTTTTGGAATTGACTTCAATTGCAGCTATCATAATGTAAGCAGTAGGTAAAGATTGATTCAGGCATTTTCTTACAAATAAGCAATCCTTCCCAGCTTTTTATTTTTATGTATTTGTGTACGTGCCTTTGTACACTGGTCACTTTTAAAATGTGAATTGCCATGTCATTGGGTTTGAAACTCACATTTTATTGATCAGGTTGTTCTGTTCATTTAGTATTTTCTTATTAGTACAAGTTTCAATCAATACTTTCCAAGCAACTCATCCATTTTCTGTATTAAAAATAATACTCTGTTTGTATTTCTGCAGTATTCGTCTGGTATCCCATACTCAGAGAGGAACTATCTACCCTCCTCTGCTTACTATTGCTTACACAGATGTGCTTATCCAAAACCCTGAAACCCAGAGTGTGATGGTGAGATCTTTGTGCTGTCTTAATTGAACTGATTTGTTAATCATACTTTTAGTTCTATGGGGATTCCAGCTGAGTGAACATTTTGAGGGGGTTGTAAAAATCTAATAAGCAGTTTCTAGTTCTGCTCAGTTTTGAAGCTGCAAGTTTTCGCTAAAACGTAAAGCTTTTAAAACAAAGCAGTTACAAGTATTTTCTTTCTAATTTATCTTGAGTCTCTTTTAACTTAAAATACTTAGAATTTTACAATTGGTTGTATAATGCTAAATTAGGCTACAGTTCAAATAAAATTATACGCACAGAAAATAACAGGAAGAGTACTCCATGCAATGCACCGAAAGCAGCAACTTACGCAAGAAATTAAGAGGAGGTTGTTATGACACAGACATTTCAGGTCACCTGTAGTTTAAGTTAAAATATCGGTAACGTATCTAAAACACCCTTTAGTGTTTTGTCTGCTGTGTATTATTTTACAGCACATCTCTAAGAATTAAAGTAAAATAATCCAAAAATCTGTAGCCAAAGGGGCTGGAGACCAGTTTGGGGGATCTTCGTCTAGTGAAAGACACCACGTTCTGCTGCAGCAGATGCAGAAGGGGCGTTTCCTGCTTGCCCTTTTGCCTGCCACGACGGGCAGCAGCTCAGATGTCCTATTCCTGTGCCTTGTTTGCTTGTTAGATCACACTGCTTTAAAAAGTGGAAATGTTGAGCTTAATATAGTAGAATAATCATTCTGCTATTAAAAAAATTATAGTATTAACAGTTTCTGCTTGTCAGCCTTCAACAGTTCAGGCTTCCAGTACGGATAGACGTCTAGCTAGAAATTTCTGGTGCTAGAACCATTCCTTGCGTTCCATATTAGCTGCATGAAAGGAAAGAAGAGACAGGGAATTAGAAAGATAGAAAAATTAGTCAGACACTTCTTCCCTGCCTAAATGATGTCTTTATTTAACCACAGAAACAGCACTGTTTTTAGAAAATAATTCATTCAAATGGCGGTGGCAGCAACAATTGTTTTCAGTTTCTCTAGTTTATGTTATACTATATACTATACGTATCCTGGGCTGCATCAAAAGAAGCATGGCCAGCAGGTCGAGGGAGGTGATTCTGCCCCTGTACTCTGCTCTGCTGAGACCCTGCCTGGAGCACTGCATCCAGCTCTGGGGTCCTCAGCACAGGAAGGACATGGACCTGTTGGAGAGGGTCCAGATGATCAGAGGGCTGGAACACCTCTGCTATGAGGAAAGGCTGAAAGAGCTGGGGTTGTTCAGCCTGGAGAAGAGAAGGCTGCGGGGAGACTTTATTCCAGCCATTCAATACTTAAAGGGGGCCTACAAGAAAGATGGGGATAGTCTTTTTAGCAAGGCCTGCTGCGACAGGACAAGGGGTAATGGTTTTAAACTAAAGGAGGGTAGATTTAGACTAAACACAAGGAAAAAATTTTTCACGATGAGGGTGGTGAAACACTGGAACAGGTTGCCCAGACAGGTGGTAGATGCCCCATCCTTGGAAACATTCAAGGTCAGGCTGGACGGGGCTCTGAGCAACCTGATCTAGTTGAAGATGTCCCTGCCCATTGCAGGGGGGTTGGGCTAGATGACCTTCAAAGGTCCCTTCCATCCCAAAGCATTCTGTGATTCTGTTTCACCCTTACATCTACACCTGGTCTACTTAGGTTTTGTCAATTTTGGATGTCTTGTTGCATTTCACCAATTTTATGCAAGTAAAAAGATGCAATGAATTTCATTCCAAGTTCTATAAACACTGAGCTTCTAGTAACTGAGCATATTTAGACTTAAAGGCAAGTGAGGTGATAGAATGAGCTGACAGGAACAAACGTTTTGGGAAGCCAGGAGGGGGGAGAGGGAGGGATTGGTTTTGGGTGGTTTTGTCCTTTTTTTTTTTTAAACTGAATTAAAAATACTATTCGTTATAATACTTGCATTAACTTTAGTCTTGCAGTGACAAAGATTCAGGCCAGAATGCTATAAAACCAAGACAAATGTTTTCTTTTCCTTGTACAAATCTTTTAAACCGAAGTCAAAATAGGTCTTAGGTTAGATAGATATTTAAGCTAGAGGGAGCAATTTTGATACTGCATGACAATTTTTATTTAATTCAAGCTGGAAAAAAAAATTGATGTCTGAGCTATGTGAGAGCTCACTTTATGATTTTGCTATTGGTGTAATTACATTAAAGTTACTTTTAATCAACACTTTTTAATCAAAACGGAAAGTATCATACCTTTGATGTCTCCTTTCAGAAGGAAAAAAATTATGCACGTTTGAAAGGATTATAATTAGGTACAGGTAGTAACTTGCAGATAGCAGGCATCCATCCCCAGCATTACTGTTGGTAAAATCTGCAGTAAGTGTAGCAGAGCATATGCTAGTACTAAGCCTAGCACTGTGGCACACCAGGTCAAATGTATGCAGTAAAAGAAGGTATATGTTGTATAATAGCCTTAGATGGGAATTCCCACCAACCAAAAGTGTGAAAACTACCACTGTCTATAATGGTTGTAGCATTTCAGAATTTCTATGCAAATTTACTTTCTGTATCTTAATATTCAGGTTTCCTTCTCAGTCAATTATGAGATGAATCAGTCAGAAGCTCAGATTCAGACTGATGTAAGTTGTGTTGCCCTTAATTTGTCAATATAATGATTTACTTCTATTTTGTGGTTTTTAAAAATATCTGCAAATAATTTTTCATTCTCTTCAGATCACGTTGGGTGTGTTGGGTGGGCTTGCAGTGTTGTGGTCCCTTCTCAAGACTGCAGGCTGGAAGAGGCGTACAGGAAGCTCTGTAATTGACTTGCAGGTATAAACAGCTGGTAACCTAAAAAGGGACACGTCTTTCTCTCTTTAAGGAGACCTTTGCCGTCTTTCCCTGTGATATAACTATTATGTTTCTTAAGGTAGCTGAAATAATTTCTAGCCTAGCTGCATAGAACTGTGACCTGGAGTTAGGCTCACTTGAGGAAGTAGGGGTTTTGCCTTTTTTTTGGATTCTGATGTTGTCATTTAGGTAATATTTTTGCTAAAAATAAAGGTATTTACAGAGCTATTCTGAGCAATTGAGTGGCCTTAGTTTTCAGATCAATTCTTCTTTGAACAAAGACCAGCATGTAGAAGTTTCAGGTATTGAATATACCATGAATATATGACCATAGTATAGGCTACTTTTTGGTACTAGAGTTTCCTGTAGTGTGAGCTGCATAACATTTTGTATGAGTGTACATATGCATTACTTAATTAGTTTTACAGATCTCTACAGTGTGTTTTTATAATTGCAGACTGTTTTGAAGTTCTTACTGTTTTATGCTGGAGACCTTGCCAACGTTTTCTTTGTCATCACAGTGGGCACAGGGATTTATTGGCTTGTGTTCTTCAAAGTAAGTGTTTTTCCAGATTTGGGTGTTATGAAAACCTATTAATATTGCATATATTTTTACACAAAAATTCATTTTCATTCTTTCTTTTTTATTTCTTTTTTTTTTTTTTGCCTTTCTGGTCAGACTATTGAGGCAAGTTCTATATCATACTCTTGTTTGTGTGCTTAAATTTTTGTGTTCACCTGTTTCTTTTCCTTGGGATTCATTGTACTTGCAGTCTGCTTAATAGTCTCTTAAAATATTTTCCAAATTCAAAATGATTGCGCATTAAATATTGACCTTTTCTGCAAAACATTATTCACTCTTAAGCACTTAGTATGTTGTTACATATGCTGCCCACACTGTTTCAATCTAACTTCTCAATTACAGGCTCAGCAGTTTGTCTCTGTCCTTTTACCACTTCCATCTCAAGAAGAAGATTTTATTACATACATAGCATGTGCGTTTAGTTTAAAGGTAAATGTTTTTTTCCTCAGGCATTAAAGACGTTTCAAGATATGCTTCTGTATATTTTCAGTAGGCTTGATTTTAAACATCTTGTACAGTTCATTTTATTAGTGTATAGATGTACACAATTATTTTATTCGAAGAATTAAGTCATTTTTCCATAGACATTTATTTTTTGGAGTCTTTATATGGAAACAAATGTCTAAGGAATATAATCTATGGAAAATTATTCTTTCAAGGATAAAGGTGTAAAGAAACCCAAATAAAATAACACCATATCAAGAAAGCAAGTGCTTTCTTTTAAAGCAGAATCTAAGTGCTGTCAGTTCCTGATTAAAAAGAAGACAGATTAAAATAATAATTATGTTCAAGCATACTTGTAGAAGTCAGAGATCGGTATTCTGTCTTCATGGGACATACAAGTATTTTATTACTTATGGGTATTATATTGAATTGGTATTCATAATACAGGGTAATATGTTATAGGAAAATACTTAGTCAATTTTTTTGGAATTTGTTACTTTGCTGTATTTTCTTCATTATTTTGGACATTGTCACATGACTTACCATTACTCCAAGCTTTTAAATTTAAAAAGAAAATATCAAAAGTTGGTAACAAAGTTGCACTCTCAAGTATAGTCAAGTATATTACTTGTTATGTTTCATGAATGGCATGTGCAATGACTGTTGCTTCATCTTTGTCTATATGGTGTTGCTGTCCTTACTTGTTATATTTCTCCTTTTTCTTTCTTAGGCTTTGCAATTCTTACAATTGCTGGTTTCACAGCTTACTATAGATATTTTCTTTATTGACTGGGAAAGACCTAAGGGCAAAGTTCTTAAAGCAGTTGAAGGTAACGCAAACTATGCTTGTTTGTATAAACAGCTTTGGTTAAATTCAGATATTACTCTCAAGTATTAAATTTCAGAGCTTTATTGTATGTATTCTTTTTAGGTGAAGGTGTTATTAAAAGTGCTGCTGCACCTGTGAGCATATGGAGGACATATTTCATAGCAAATGAATGGAATGAAATTCAGACAGTGAGGAAGATAAATCCCCTCTTTCAAGTGCTTGCAGTTCTTTTTTTTCTGGAGGTATTATTACTGCAATTATTTTTGTTATTGTTATTAATTTTTTTATGATTCACATCCAGAGTGTAACATAAGGGTCTGGTTTTTAATGCCTGCATTCTCTGTGGTAATAGCGGATGACCTCTGAGTTCACTTGAAAACACGTAACTTAGTAAAATAATTATTTTAATGCATTTTTTAATTTATATGTATGTATATATAGGTCATTGCAATATTTCATTAAGGAAGACATAAAAAAAAAAAAAAAAAAACCAAAAAACCACAAACTTTAATTACCTTAGAGACCTTTGTTAGTTTTGCTTGGTTTTTTTAAGGTAATGAGTTACCCTAAATGGCTTAAGAGACTGATAAATCTGTGTACACACTCAATTCTTTATTTACCTACTGGCTCCCTCCTGCCATAGCCTACAGCTTTATTTCTGATTTCATATTTGTCTGAACTGAGCTTCCTTCCTCCTAATTTGCTACAGTGACCTTTTAGAAAGCAGGAAATGGAATGTGCCAGTTCTGTTCCTGATGGCATAAGACAAGGCAGTATGCCTTCAGTTACAGCTTAAGGCTGTGTGAGAAATTGTGCGTTAGCTTTTCAAAAACATTTTGGTTTGTTTCTTCTGTAGTTTGGGAAGGACTTTTATTTTGGGAAGTATTCTTAAAGCGTGTGGCATACAGTTGTTTATGTGAGGTTCTTTTACATATTTTTAATACTTTTATTCATTTTTATATTTCTGTTTTTAAATTTAATGGTTTTCTTTTAAATTATATACAGTAAAAACCCTCTAACTTTCCTCACTCACTTCATCTGTATTTTTGCTGTTGGTAAATACTGGCCAGGAACAATTTCTGTGCCATGTTACAAGGAAGGAATGGGAGAAAAGAGAGCACGTATTCCCTAAACTAACTAGTCTCCTCAGGCCCCTCTTCATAGGCTCCTGGTATTACTAGAAGAGAGAGGCTGCTCTTAGTAGAGAGTGATTAACATCTTGCTCTATAATTCCTGTTATGAATTTCCCTCTGTAGAATCCCTTTCTTGCCACTGATGGTGGAGGAACTCATGAAAGATACCTAAATAGGCCGAAACTGGTGTTTGTGAAAACCTCAGATAATCTTTATAACTTTCATTCTCATGCTGGAGTTTGGAATGTCGTTTCCCCAGAAGTATTACGCACGGGGTAGATATGGCAATCAGCTGCTCACTACAAGGGGGAACTTCTGTATTACTCAGAACCTGTCTTCTTGGGTTACCAATTTTGATAAAGTGACTGTTCAGTTCTCATTAATCATGATGCGAGGCTGTACAGTAGTAGAAAACAAGCCAGGAAAAGTAATAGTTGGAGGAAGTTGGAAAGCATCTCGCTCCCCTCATGTCTGGTACCAAAGCAGCCACTTGGTTGGCACTGGTCACCGTGGCAGTGTTTACTACGTGGCTAGTGCAAATAGCACTCTGGCAGCAAACGTGAGCTTTTCAATATTGTACTGGGTCTGACTGGGATGGAGTTAACTTTCTTCAGCCCATAGGGTGCTGTGTTTTGGATTTGTGGCTAAAACAGGGCTGATAACACACCAATGATTTGGCCATTGCTGAACAGTGCTTGCACAGCATCAAGGCCCCCAGTGAGTAGGCTGGGGCTGCGCAAGAAGCTGGGAGGAAAACACAACCAGGACAGCTGACCCCAGCTGACCAAAGGGATATTCCATACCATATACCATCATGCTCAGCAATAAAAATGGAGGGGAAGGATTTTCTGGGGACTGGCTGGGTGTCGTGGTTTAACCCCAGCCAGCAACTGAGCCCCACACAGCCGCTCGCTCAC